AAGCACTGCTGAGAGACCAGCAATGTGGCATCACTGGGCAGAAGGAAATCCCAACTGTTTCCCAGTTTGACTACCACTAGTAAAGTTAGATTCTCTTTTCTATGTAAAGGAAAAGTAAGTAGCATTTTAAGATGAGGGAGGGAGGGGCAGGATTGCACTATGATCCTAAAACAAAATAAAAAGTTCTTTGAATTAAGCTCCACTCTTTAAAAGCTTTTTATGGACACATCCAGGTGAAACTGGGGCTTGTTGGCTTTGGCACGGATTCAGAACACAACATGGGCAATTTTTTTTTGAATTTATTATTTATGAGAAAATTTATATTGCCGCCCACTCGCACATGGCAACTCAAGGCGGCTTACAGGGGTATAGGATCCTCGACTTACGACTGTAACCGAGCCCAGAATAATGGTCGTTCAGTTGTGGTGGTGAAGTAGGTCACCATGTCAGTAGTCGCCAAGCAGTGGGCTGGGAACCACTGGTGGTCCGCGAGAAAATTTTGGTGGCCCACAGAGAAATGTCACCCCCAAAGCAATTAATCCAGGCTGTGCGGGAACACAAGGGTGCGCTGCCCACATGGCCCGTGGGAACACAAAGTTTGTGTCGCTTGCATTGGAACAACACGAGGTAGTGAGGGGAGGGGGGGAAATGCGGAGGTGGGGGACTTGCCCCACTTGCCCCACGTGCCTGGCCTGGCCACCGGGCTGCTTCTTTCCACTTCTTTCTTCTTCTGTTTTTGGCTGCACACAAGGAAAGCAGCAAAAGTCTTTCTTTCTCTCCCCCAAACTCCGCCAGAAATGAGTCTTTGGGACTCTGCAAGGCCTCCTGCCCCAAGAGGCTGCACCAGCAAAGACTCATTTCTGGCAGTTTGGAGGAGAGAAAGAAAGACTTCTGCTGCTTTCCTTGCATGAAGCCAAAAGTCTCTCTTTCTCTCTCTCCCCCTGAGAATGGAGCTGGAGATGGTATCCTGTGATCCCAAATAAAGAACGATCGATCGGTAGGAAAACGGGGTGGGGGATTTTCCTGCAGACTTTTTGGGGGGATTTTCCCAGGGTCTCTGGTCCGCGGGATTTAAAATTCTGAGTTTGATGGTCCCTGAGGTCCAAAAAGTTGGCCACCCCTGCACCATGTGACTGTGCCCAATTTTACCAATGTTTTTGAGGTGGACATTAAGTGAAGGCTACAGTTGTTAAATGAATGTTGCAGTCATGAAGTAAACCCATTATAGCCAATTGGGGTGTGTGTTGGGGGGGGGTATTCCCTGATTTATGGCAAAACAGGTAATAAATCAGTCATGTGGCCATAGGACACTGCAAATAGGGTATAACCATACTGCCCCAGAATTCCCTGTATTTTTCCCTTTCAAAAATTAACTTAGTTAAGACACTGTTTGGCTTTTGAGCACATAGAGGGACAAGAATGAGAATGAGACTGAAAAATTAAGCTGCGTAGGCCCATGGCAATGAGGTAAAGCTAAAGGTGTTGACTTTTGGTTTTTAAATTGCAAGGACGTCTTATTCTTAAGGAAGAGCTGACCAAAACAGCACTTTTATTCACCTTAATTATCCCACCATGCCGAAGCTCAAGAGTGACCCCTAGGGGCTAGAAGCATTTTTATCGAGGGGTCCTTGGTGCTCTCTGACTCTGGTTTGTTTTCTTACAGGCGTTTCGTGACTCAAACTAGGTGACACCATCACTAGACTGAGTCATGAAACGTTTGCAAGAAAGCAACCAACCTCAAAGAGCACCAAGAAACCCCAGTTGTTCTCCTTCTCTCTACACACCCCTCTCCCCTGATGATGTTGCCTTGTTGGGTCATGAAACGTCTGCAAAAGAGCAACTAAGCTCAGAGAGCACCGAGGACCCCACAGTCCTCCTCCTCTTTCTCCCCCGCTCTGCACAACCCTCTCCCCTCTAGCACTGATGACCTTGCCTAGTATATAAAAAGAGGGCCAACCTCTCTCTCTTCTAGCACTGATGACGTTACCTAGTTGGGTCATGAAACATCTGCAAGAAAACAACCAAGCTCAGAGGGCATCAAGGACATCTCACTGGTAACAGGCTCCGACTGTTTTTCTGCCCCACTGATCTCCAACTCTGAAGGCAGCTGATGACTGTCAGGCAGCCCTGGCCCCATCTCTGCCTCTGAGGCAGAGCCCTCATCCGAGCCCTCCTCAGCCTCCAGGACTGGCCCAGGTTCCTCCCCAACCTCCTCACTACTGTCCGACTCTGCTGCCAGCTCTGCACACAACCCTTTCCTTCCAACCCACCCAATGACAAATGCTTGTTGTACATCACTCTGTCCTTCCAAGCACATTATCCTTAATAGAGCTGGAAAGGATCATAATCTATTAAATTGTGATCGGAAGGTGATGTTGATTTATTCTTGACTGCTTCTGAACAGCCAGCTGTGGGGCTCCATCACTGGAAGTTTTGAACCAAAGGTTGATCAATGAATTCTTTGGGGCGGTTTGAGAATTCATACCCTGGGCAGAAGAGGTGAACCAAAAGACTTCAGGACTCATGATTCTATGAATCAGATACCCGTTGTCTGCAGGAAATAACTCACATGCCACCAAGAAGCAGGAAGTACCAATAAAGGAAAATATTTGTAGCTCAAGATTGAAATGAGGGGTCGTTGGTGGTCTCTGAGTTTGCCTGTTTTCTTGCAGACGTTTCATGACCCAACTAGGTAACATCATCAGTGCTAGTAAGGAGTGCTGTTTACTGTCACTCCTTACTAGCATTGATGATGTTACCTAGTTATGGTAATGAAACGTCTGCAAGAAAAGAAGCAAGCTCAGAGAGCACCAAGAAAACAGGAACTAAACAAGAGTCAAAATGAAAGCGTATCTATGCTGGAAATCTTTCAAGAATTGATTCCAGGTGTTGTCAGGGTTGCAATTTCCTCCAGTTCCCAGCTACCACGCCCATAGTTCCAAACACTAACATCTAGAGCGGGGGGGGGGGGGGGGGGGAGATCCAAATCTGGCAACTTTAAGAATTGTGGAATTCTCAGAATTCCCCAGCCGGCCATGCTAAGCTGGGGAATTCTGGAAGTTGAAATCTACAAAAGTCTTAAAAGTGCAAAATTTTGGAGATCTACAGGGTAACAGGTTGAAGACAGTTGTATATTCCATGGCTCTGTTGAGAATTAGTTCTCCCATCTGAAGAAAATGCAGGCTTGGATCACATCACACATGATTTACTCAATTTATTGTATAAATTATAGACAACTGGGTTTGCACAAAACCTGAAATCAGAAATCACAGTTTCTATACCTTAATGATTGGGTCTCACACAACGTGCTAGGTCAAAAACCAATCGTTTAGTGCAACATGTAAAGCCCAATCATAGCCTTGGTTAGAGTTCAGTGCAAGCATATACCACAGATACATCCCGTAATATACACCCAGACCAGCCAATTGATAAGGAAGCGATCAACGTCGGAGAAGTGCTGATGGTACAATATTTACAACTCGTTGGCTATCAAGGGATCATTCAGAAACTACTACATAGCCATTTCAATTCTTTGGGCTCAGCAGTGAATCTGTAGGCCTGCATTTTGACTGTAAATGCAGCATTTGCAATAGGTAACATAAATTTAATCTATCAGAGAGGAGAAAATAAGATCAGCAGTGTAGTAGAAAAAGGTGGAATTTAAAAGGGCCATGAGATCATTGTAGTGCAACACAAGCACCAGCTACACAACTTGGAAGCTTTTGCTGACAAAATGCAAACCTTTTTTGCAGCATCCTTAACTTGAAAATCATCACTGCATTCAGACCTGAAATATTTCCAGTGTTTGATCTGAATGGAAAAGAGGATTCTCTCTCTCTCTCTCTCTCTCTCTCTCTCTCTCTCTCTCTCTCTCTCTCTCTGGGAAACTCTCACTGAGCCATTTTAAGTCCCAAAAATCATTGGTAATCTTTGTAACAGGAAGAAAACTAGAAATCCAAAAGAATCAAGATTTAAGGGGAACAATTCAATTTTGAAGCAAGCACGGTTCCTGATCAACATTTGTGAAAAGTTCATTCCGCCAATTTGTGGGAACCACACATTACTTGTGAAGAAAATCCTGTACCTAAAAAAATCCCATTCCTGCCAGAGGCAGCTTTGCAGCAGCACTGGTTGGATATCCAACCATCTCACCAATGAAAAGGGGTAAGGAAGAAAATTTTCATTATTTCAGCAACAAATAATGTACAACATATTACAAGAGAATTCCCTCCCCCACCACCAAATTTGGCAAACTGGAAGTTCAGGCCAAACTCCAATTTCAAAGTCATTCCAACGCACGACGTCCATGATTTTCAGCAGCAATAAAAGAGGAATAATGTTACTGCAGTGGGGTCTTTTCTTTGCAAGACATTAAGGCAGCAAATTAACAGGCTGCCAAGAGAAAGATGATGAAAGTAGCAATTGATCAACCCAAAGAACACGTGGCAAAACAAATTTTAAATTTCAACACGGAGACCATTTGGATGGCCAAATAACATTTGTAGGACTCTGAAATTGGGTCATAAATTGATTTATATCTTGGTCTATTAAACAAAGTCTCCCACTTAAGGGAATTCACTCCTTGGTAGTGAATAACAGAAAAACTGCATTCAAAATCATGGCATTTGACAAAACTTGGTATCTAATTTTCGGGGTGGGAGCGGGAATCTTACATGTAAAGCTACTACATATAGTCTGGCTCAACTTGGCATTATTGTTCTGCCATCAAACAAAATAAACACCAGTCCCAAAAACTCCTGTGTTTCTCAGCTGTTCAGACAAACCATTCCAATGTCAGATTGAATCCAAAAATTGATCTCCCCCCAGGGGACATAAGAATCGAATCTGTTTCACTGATACTGGAAGCTCCAAAATTACCTTGACATTGCCAAGTCTACTGAAAGCATTATCTAGAGGTGGGATTCCAAAGTCATTATTACTTACAGTGCAGAAATGCCACGTTTTTGTCTAGAAAATTTATCAACATTTTCTAAACGGTTCTCAGTTGCTCCTCTTGCTGGTTTTTCCCAGCTCTGCTAAATTTTGGGACTCCTGAAATCATGGATTCATACAAACAAAACAAAATGTTTCCGTCCCACCAATCTCATCCAATTCAAACAGGGACTTCTGAAAGTCTTTGAGGCTTGCACCACATCCTACAAATCTTCCTTTGTCTGTCAGGCAGCCATTCATCCCTCTTAGTCCTGCTTGCCCTCCCGCCACTGCCGGGAGCCTTCATTCCATGCTACATACACAAAAAGAGCAAGGACAATGTGTACAGCAACGACGGCAACAATTGCAGCATAAAAGTAGCTGTCTCTGTTGGACATTCCAAAGGTACCTGGAAAACAACAACAAAAAGACAAAAACAATGAAAACTTACATAATGTGTACAAACAGATATATTCTTCCATGTTTTGTTAATCGGAGATTGTGACATAACCAGCAGTGAAACATATCTAATGTTCCCTGAAATTATTTCAAACCTTTATCATTCAAAAATAAAAAAGCAGCTGCTTAATACCATGTAATAAGGTATACATTATTTACGTTTTAATAAGAGACCACAATGCAATGTTTCTCAGCTTTGCCAACTTTAAAGGTATGTGGATTTCAACTCCCAGAATTCCCCAGCCAGCATGAAGTTCACACTTCTTCAAGTTGCCAAGGTTGACAAGCACTGCTGGAATATACTGACCTAGAGAGACGTAGTTTTAAAAAAAAGTATAAAAGAAAGACAATTACCTTCAAATATATACGCCTTTGTTGAGAAATACAATCCAATTGGTAACATAATCATTAAAGCTGTGAAGAACAGCATTGTCCTTAGAGTTGAGGCTAATGAAACTTCGCTTCTACAAAAAAGTCACAACAAAGAAAAATAATTATGTACCAAACAGAGCAGAGCAATTGCTTTAGAAAGGAATATTTTATTTTTTTAAAAGCATTACCAAGAAATTGGGTTGAATTATTGCCCTAGTTATCATCTACCATAGATTAAAAAGTTTTAAGGCAACTTTTCCATCCAAGCAACCGAACCCTCCTTCCTCTATGAGGAGGAAGAAGCCCCAGATATGGCGGGGGGGGGGGGCGTTTGGGGGGAGACCCTCCATTTTGAAACAGGGACTCAAATTAATTCCTCCTTCCTCCCCCCCCCCTCCGGGATGGAGGCTCTCCCAGCCCCGAGAGCGGCTCCCCCCCGGCCGGCTTCCCGTCCTCACCGGGCCTCGGGGGGCGAAAGCGCGTTGAGCGCCGCCTTCTCGTAGCGCTCCATGGCCGAACGGCGGCCCCTCCTTCTTCTCCTTTTCCAGCCCTCGAGAAGGACGCGAAGGAAACCCTTTCCGGTCAGCTGACCGCGCCTCTGCCGGCCTCTCCTCTCGTCGCTCGTCACGTGACCAGCAGGTGGCGCATGAAGAAAAGAAAAGGGAAAGCGTCTCTCCCAGCATGGAAATTCCTAGAGAGGCTCCTATGTGTACATACATACATACATACATACATACATACATACATACATACATACATACATATAGAGAGAGAGAGTCTCCAAGGCGAAGGGTCTCCATGGTGAAGGGTGGGATTCCAGCTTCCAGAGATCCCAGCCAGGCTGGGAATGATGGGGCTTGGAGTCTGAAGGTGTGATTGGAAGCCACAGGCTCCTGGATATTCATGTTCATATGCTGAATAGGAACACAATAATCATTTCAGTGTTGTAATAAATGAAGTTTATATGCCACCCAATTTCCCAGGGACTGACATATAAATGCCATATATAAATTTGTCATCCCAGCAGATGAATGCAGAATTGCATCTTAAGTCTTGCATGGAGTTCCTTAGGATGGGCTCCGCCGTGCAGTTGGGATGACCTTTTAGGTGCCCCGGATAGGATTTAAGTTGCCACGATTTCTGTTGCTAAGCGAGGAAGTGGTGAAAGAGAGTGGTGGCAATTTTAGGACCTTTTTTGTTTGTTTGTTGCCCCAGCAAAGTAAATCACTGTGCTTGTTAAATGAATCATGTGGTCATTAAGTGAATCCGGCCCCCTCACATGTCCCTTTGGTTGTCAGAATCAACTCGGAAGGTCACAAATGGTGATCCCGTGATCCCAGGGTGTTGCATTGTAAATACTGGCCCAAACATGGTCGTGTGATCATGGAGATTCTGGGATAGTTGTGTGAGGACAGATTTAAATTGCAACTTTGAACAGTCATAGAGTAGAGTAGAGTAGAGTAGAGTAGAGTAGAGTAGAGTAGAATAAGGAACAGGAAAGTAGAATAGAATAGAATAGAATAGAATAGAATAGAATAGAATAGAATAGAATAGAATAGAATAGAATAGAATAGAATAGAATAGAATAGAAATAGAAATAGAAATAGAAATAGAAATAGAATAAAGAATGGAATGGAATGGAATGGAATAGAATAGAATAGAATTCTTTTTTGCTCAAGTGTGATTGGACACAAGGATTTTGTCTTTAGTGCATATGTTCTCAGTGCAAAGAAAAAAGAAAAAAAATACATTGATCAAGAATCATAAGATACAACACTTAGTGATAGTCATAGGTTACTAAATAAGCAATCAAATCATACTAGGAAATAAAATAATATAAACCGTAAAGATGCAAGCAACAGGGTTATAGTCATAAGTGGGAGGAGATAATTGTAAGTCAACCATTACTGTATTTATTTTGAAGGAGAGGGTAGAGAAAGGGTATCAGCAAAAGCACAGACTGACCATGATGTCCCCAAGTTACATTTTAATAAATGTGGATCTCTAACAACAGTAGAAAGAATTGTCAACCAGATCGTGCTTCCTCTTTAGATCTCCATTGCAAGAGTCCATCCATCAATATGTCCCCCTTTAGTCCTGTCCATGGTGCTGATCTCTGTTTACCAACAAACATGGCATGGTAGCCAGAAAGCTCGTTGGAATTAGAAGTATGTACTCAAAAGCCAATATGTGACTTGGGGTTCCTCTTGGACTCATGGTTCCTGCTTAAGGAATAGGTAGCAGCCTAAATCTATGTTGTGTAGTAGTTGAGTTCATTTTCCTGCGCGTGACTATTCACATCTTAGTCACCTCCCTTAGTTGGACTCCTCTAATGCACTCTGCTGGGTCCTTCCCTTGAAGACCAACTGGAAGCTGCAATGGGTCCAGAATGCAACAACATGGGAAGTAAAAGGCACATCTTGATAACTGTATAGAATACCACCATGCCATGGAATACACTAGCTGATACGTTTCTGGGTGCAATTCCTAGTGCTGGTTATCATTACTTAGCACAAAGCTAACTTATTCGTGGTCTATCTCACTAATTTTCACAGGTTGGGTATGCTCCAGATCCCCTCTTTAAAACCACATCAAGTCCAGCTTTGAAATTGACGCTTTTTTAAAGTCTATGTCATCTAATGGAGCATTTCCAACCTTGGTAAAGATGTGTGGACTTCAATTCCCAGAATTCCCCAGCCACGTTATAGATGGTTAGCCTGTTAAATAGGGGTTAATTTCTACCATCCACCTGTTTTGCTTTTTAATTGAGGATGTTTAAGCCATAGTGGCCCCATTTCTGGCTGAGAATGAGAATAGAAATTATTCTGGTAATTGTTTTAGGGAAAATTAATGTATGCAAAAACCCAGGTGTCAGTTGCAAAGTTGGACACAGTCCCAGCACCAATTTTCCTTGAAAGATTATGAATAGCCTATAAAATGTACATTATGAAGCTCTCGCATTGCCTTGGCTCCTTAAAAGACTTGGTGTGGGTTTTTTTTTTTTAATATGGCAAAGGAGGAAAATCATTAAATGTATCCAAAGTACTTACTGTTAACTTCATTTAAGTAATTTAACTTTAATTCATCTTTTTAACATATAAAGTTTATGATATCTAATTCACTTTTATCTCCAGATGGCCCACTGAGACAAAAAATAAAATAAATCCAGATATTTCTTACACAGAGGAATGCGCAATGCAATGTCCTATAAGTGTATAAGAATATGATTTTATGTTTCAGAAACTATGTGAGAATTTGGAGCACCGAAGCAAAACCACAACTCCAGTCTGATTTATAACACATATCTCTTCCCACAAAAATAAGATGCATTAAATCATGAACAATCTTACAGCATGGGGTTCAATCTTTAATTTATTGCTCTTCAGCCATATGCCTTAATGAGATCTTTTTTAAAACAAAATCAAATGCAAGACCATTTAGCACAGAGCACAGCCCGTCTTCCAATCTTCAATGCCACTAATTAAACATATTTGCTATTGAGACAAAATGCGTTGGGAGAACATTGAATAACCATGTTTTATAGCAGGGGATTTTAATAAAACACCATGTTTTCACCTGCTGCTCCATTTTTTTTTTAAATTTCCCACAGGACAAAGAAATGCACAAAGTAACGCATCAGATGGGTAATAAATCAGTCAGGAAGTGGGGAATAATATTATTCACAAGCCAACCCAAGATTTCACTGCAACTGGCAAATTAGAGATGATCCAATGGCATTTATAATGGGGGGAAAATAGATTTGACTATTAGGTGGAAATCCTTTTGTTTTGTAGAAAGAAAAACATATGTCTTTTCATGCATCTGATTATTATTCATTATTCTGATTTTCAGTTCTGGAATACCACCTCAGGTACCAAAGGGGTTTGATTATTTACTAGATCTATAAAACCATCCAATTCATATAGTGATCCTGGATGGTGTACAACAGAAAAAGCAACAATAAAAGAGAGAGAAAAACACCCCAAGTAATGTAAAATGAAAACATTATATAGACAGAAAATAGAAAATTATGGCTGCTATAAAAAGAAAATTAAAAGGGAATTCGAAGTGACAAGTTGTAAGTTGAGAATTGCCTCTGCCAGGGTGTAAATTTGCAGCTCTTGAAGGCTAATATGTTTACGGTGTCATGCCACTCTTTCAGTAGTGGGTTGACAACGTTTATTTAAACCCCTACCATTCACCAAGCTGCTGGATATCTAGGCCAACCAAACCCTTGGAACAATCCCCTTTTCACATGTCTTGAAAATAAGTCTAGCAGCTGCTATCCAAAACCATTTCTTCCAATTGTTTCCTTCCCAGGCCACTCAAAATAGTTTCTCCAAAACAACTTTTAATCAGAATTCTTTTTTTTTTTTTCCCGTTCCTTTTCTCCCTCAGTCGGTGGCCTACATTCAGAGGATTTACTGGACAACAAAGACATTTTTCGGGGAAGGAAAAGAAAAGCAGAGAATTCTTTGGGAGGGCATGCGTGTGATCACCGTGTGTGGATTTAAAAGCCACCCCAAAAAGCACACACCAACTCTGCCTTCCCATCATACTAAGACAGACATGTATATCATTTTACATATAATAACTGCAGCCAGGATTGTGTATGCACAGTACTGGAAACAGGAAAATACACCATCTGAGGGGACAGTGATGAGAAAGATTCTGGACTGCGTGGAGATGGACAGGCTGACCTTAGAGTTAAAAGATAGAAATGAAATGGAGTAATATCTGCTCTGGGACGCCTGGTAAATCTAGTCTGAACAATAGACATAAAAATAACATAGTAATTAGGACATGAATATGAATGTTGATGATGCTCTAACTGTAATGTTGATGTTAATGTTGATGATGCTGGAAATGTAAATATGTTTTTAAATTGTTGGGTGTTTAATGTTTATTAATGTTTAATAAAATTTATTTATAAAAAAACCTCTGCCTTCCCTGCTCCTATCTTCCTGTTTTTTTATCACGGGTTGCCTTTTGATCAGGGAAATTGAAGTGTCTGTGTGTGTGTCTGTGTGTGTGTGTAAGAGAGGTAAGGTGCCCTTTGCTGTCACTTCTCCGCACAGCCAGAGGAAAGCTTGAATCAGCAGATTGGAGGCAGGTAATGCATTTTCTCAGTGGCAGAACAATACAGTGGACTGGAAAAAAATTAAACCGAGGGGCTCTTGCCTCTCTTCTCTGGTGGGCAGCCTCTCTTACCCTCTTTGTCCCAAGAAACTCCATTACACAAAAGTCAGACTACATTCCCCATCGTGCCCGCCTGGGTCTCGAGAGCGTTTCAGCTTTGCATCTCCCATCATCCCCAGCTTGCATAGTCTACCCTTCTGAGACACTGCCGGAGTGATTTTCCTTTAATTAATTGCTGGGTGCAACAGGCTAACTCTGTAAACCACTCAGAGAGGGCTATAAAAACATTGTAAAGCGGTATATAAGTCTAAGGGTGAATTGCTATTCAATTAAAAGGCATCTCTTGCAGGATAAAGGTTGTTTTTTTTAAAACCCAGTTGCAGCCAGGATGCAAACAAAGGTTTCACACTT